TTTATCATGAAACAACAAAGGAGGTGGTAGTGGCTGCTCTAGTATAAAGAAAATGGGTGGTAACACAAAACAATTTGAAACAAATGGATTTATACCAACAACTGGAAGTGCAGTAAACATTGGAAATATTTTACTGTACTTGCTGATTTCCACACTTAAGAGCAGAAGATGTTAAGGGCATGGGTTACAAGCAAAAATATTCAGGTTTGAAGGATATTTTTGCTTTGATCTTTGTGCCTTCTCGGTTTTATCTTAAGGAAAATGCTGCTGTACCTGTACGTCCAAATCTGACCCAATATTACTGTATCAACATTATCCTATGTCATATATTGTGTTTATTTCTTGTGATGCCAGAGCCTGGTGAGTGAGGAGGATGAGGATGAGGATGAGGAGGAAGGGAAGACTGCTGTACAGGCAGATGAGAAAAACAAGAACACCAAACCTGGTGTGCATGGTATGATCCTCTTGTCTTCTCTTCTGCAAGTTTCATAATTGTGTGTATTTCATATCAAGCTGGGAAACGAATCTTCTTTACTCTTACAGACGTAATGGTTTCACGGAGAACTGACCGAGAGAGAATTCCTGTTAGATACAGCACCTTGGGCACCAGAGATGCTGCCAGGTGCCCTCTGTTATTAAGATTGAGTGATTGGTTCCATTTTATGTGAACTCTGTATTCTGCATGAAGTGAATTAGAGAGTAAGTGACACTCACTTGTGTCTTCAGAGATCCACACACACTAGTGGAGCTGTCAGCCTTCTCAGCCATCAACAGATTCCAGCCTTTCAACGTAGCTGTGTCCAGTAATGTACTGCTGCTAATGGTAATGAATCGTATGGGTTAAAGGATATTTAAATACTCATGAACAGTTAAGAGACCAAGTTACCTCTTTTTGTCCTCTTAGGACTTCCACTGTCACCTGACCACCAGTGAGGTGGTGGGATACCTTGGAGGACGATGGGACACTAATACACAATGTGAGTGTGACTTCATCTGAGAAATGAGAAAGTAACGGCAAAAAAGGAATATTAGTAGAAGACTGGATAAAAGCCATCACATACAAACTCAAACACTAACATAATTCTCTCTGTGGTCACTGTTTTTCAGTGCTGACAGTCTTAAGGGCTTTCCCCTGCCGGACCAGGTTGGCAGACAGAGATTCTGCTCCTGTTGTCGAGGAGGAGGTAATGCATGGACAGTGAATCAGTAGTCCACACCAATTAAGGTAAATGACACCAATTTCAAAAATTCATAAGCGCCTCCTGTGCAGACGACACTTGTCAACATGCAGGTATCTTTCCATAAGTAAGAAATGAAAGACTCGTGAATTTCCATTACAGCTATGGATGGACTACCAGATGCAGGCCCAGAGGTCTGAGAGGTAAGGGGGTCCCTGGGCAAAGAAAGAAAAATGACAATAAATAGATACAACATTGTGTCAGAGATATGATGAATGACCACAGAACATGAAATCACATCAATAGGAAGAAATTTACCATAAAAAGACACAAAATTACTTCAAAGAGAGGAATAATAACCTTAAAAAGAGGCAAAATGACAAAGGACAAATTAATTGTGTCCGTTATGACTAAAACCATGTGACTGCATCTGTTTGGGGGGTCTTTAATTTGTCTGTGCCCAGGGCCCCACTGCCTCAAAGCACATCCATGATCACAGGGAAATAAAAACTGGCTGCTGTGGTTAGTGTTCACCAAGAACACTGTGTTTTGCACTTGATATTAAGTACTCGTGAATTAATACTAGTTTATTTCCAGCAACATCATAAGTGCAGTTTTTTTAGCTTTATGAAAGTGTTGACATAACTTTGCTAATATACAGAAATAAACTTGAACTGTAAAAATGGTGTCATTCCCCTTTGGTTCTGTGCACTGATACACAGAAACATGCTAAGCACTGACAACTGATCACTTTTGCAAGCAAAGGTCAAGTAGTAATTGTACATCAAAAGTCAGCTACAAATTACAATCTAGAGCTTCTGTCACATTTTCATGTTGTACAAACAATTATAATAGTCTTATTTATTTCCAAATCACCGCTGAGCTTGTGTGAGCTGGCAAAGTCCATAATAGCTACTATCTTAGTGTGCATGTATTTACTTTCACTGGGGTGAAACCAATTTTAAGCAAGGCTTTTTTCAGATCAGTGTCTTGTCTTGTTTGCTGTCCTGCAGATCTGTCAGAACCTGTTCTTGCGTGGGCTGTCTTTGGTGGGCTGGTACCACAGTCACCCGCGAGGTCCTGCGCTGCCGTCGCTGCAGGACATCGACTCCCAGATGGACCATCAGCTACGGTTGCAGGGTTCAAACAACGGCTTCCAGCCCTGTCTGGGCATTATCTGTGGTAAGTGCCTTTACTTTCACACTGTGGGAACATAATGATGTGATAGATTATTGATCTGTGCATGGAAATTCTCTTTTGAATACCTATTCCACAGGGACCTATGAAAACAGTTAGGGACACTTTATTGATCCCGTGCAAAGAAATGTAACAGCAGTGAATAGTAGCGCTGAAATAATACTATTACAAAGCAGGAGATATAGAGGATTTTTCTACAATATCCATAGTAAGTAGAGATGTAACGATATTTGGGACTGTGACGGTTTGATTATTTTGCTAGTATAATCACGTTCAGGTCACTGAATTTGAAACTGACATAGGGGATACTCGATTGTTGGCTTTTAGAGCTGTTGTGTGGCAGCATTTCAGTTTTCCAGTTTCAAGAAATGACACAGGCAAAGGAAACTGACAAACAATCTGCAAACACTGCCAGATGAAGGCAATACTAGCCCTGTTTAGGACTGACAGTCCTGGATACATCTCGCAGAACAGTCGGGACATGACATTTTAACAGAGATGGGCAACCATATGCAAAAACAACCACTTAGTAACCACCCTTAAAGTCTTTCCTCTTGAAAAAGTAAACCACAATGTTTGAAAAACAACTCCAGTAAAGCTTACATCTCACCTTTATGTGGCTTATCCTACTTTGGAATCTTCTTCCTCTCAGTCTGGTGCGCCAAGCAGCAATTTGCTCACTACTGCCCCCGGTGGTCAGGTGGATACATGCTTCAACTGGTCCAGTGACTCAGAACCTGACCACTGGTTGGTGGAGCCAGCAAACAGGAAAAGTTAAACCTGCCTAGGGGGTGCTAAAGCACTGATGTTCTACTGTGAGTGTGATTTGTTTTGTTTACAAGATCCAACTGTTGCAATAATATATTATTTTATTTTATTACATAAAAGGACTGCTGCTGACTGCTCCATTCTTTTTTGTTTTGCAGTTGTACAAACAGTTCAGTCATTCAGTGCCAGTGACAATTCATGCAAATTCTTTGCACATGCTTAGGTCATGGCTGGCTATTTTTATTTTAATAAAGGAGGAAAGCAGGAGCAGTTCAAAGGAAAATCATACAAAAAATGCTGATTCATTATTTCATAAAAGGCATATATTCATCTTTTTTCTTCATTTTAAAAATATTATGACAAATATTACATTGTAGAATTTTTGTCATGGCAATATCATCCTGTGAGTTTTTGGTATCATTACATCACTAACAGTAATTATACAGCGCTGTCAGAAATAGTGACCTACAAGCTACACTGCCAAGAAGGTTCCGGGTTCGAGCCCCAGGCGACCTGGGGCCTTTCTGTGTGGAGTTTGCATGTTCTCCTGGTGCCTGTGTGGGTTTTCTCTGGGTACTCCGGCTTCTTCCCATGGTCCAATAACTAGGAAGTTACACTACCTAAAAAAAAAAGGCACTCTAATAAGAATGGATGGAAAAAGGCAATGGGGTAAAGTATCTACTGACAGCAGCACATGCAGTAGGCAATATAAAACTCAAATATTACTCTTGAATGAGACTTGACTGACCCACAAAGATACTTGCTGCAGGCTGCTCTAAACAGTGCTGCAATTTTGTTATGCTTATGTTGATGTCAAGAAGTTGTAATTGTTTATTTTTATCATATTAATTCTTTGCAACAGAATAAGGAAAAATAGAGTGTGTAGTAATTAAGAAGGGCTTTTTGCGAGTGTAAACTGAGTAATGTAGAGAAATACTGTTCATTCTGCAGTAACGAAGGGTTTAAAGGTCACTACACACCAACACAGAAAAAGTTGAAGTAATGTCTTAAAGTGATGTGTACAGCTTGTATTTCCAATATTTGCCATGGCACGTGAATGCATCATCACTATCATGAAGACAGGTTGACCGGTCAACTCCTTGGCTCTGTAATTGTCAAAAAGATTTGACACGACTTAGCACTGAACTCTTTTTTTCTCTCTCCTTCAGGACCATATTATCATGGCAACCAAGGTGTTGCCTCCACAATAACTCCATTCTGGGTCGTACCACCCCCTGAGGTGAAGAGGCAGACATAACAGACAGAAATTAAACTACTCATCCTATTTCAGCATTGTTTCCTGGTTTAGGTTTCTCTGATGTTGACATTTGTGCCCATGTCTCTGCTAAACTCAACTAAACATAATCTCCTTTCCTGCAGCAAAGGCCTAATGACTACGGTATCCCAGTGGCTGTGGAAGTCACCTATGTACAAGACAACTTTCTCACCAGTGATGTTCTTAATGAGATGGTACTGATACTACAGTCCTGTAAAAATGCTGTGGAGAAATCAGAATTTGTGCAATTGGTTTTTATTACTGGTGTAAATCAGTATAAAAGTCTTATTTCCTCCACAGATGCTCCTGGTTGACTACTACAGGGCAGCTCCTGACCTTGTCCAGTTCAATCAGTATTGGTGTCCCGATATGACCATGATGGACAAAATTAAGGTAAGGGGGTGGCAGGACGTCGTACAGCCTCCAGCAGGTGACACAGATCTAATGTGTTCTTCATCTTCCTCAGGGTTCTCTGAGCTGCCATGCTCCCAAAGACCAGGCCTACTCTCAAATCTTAGAGCACGTCTACAGTCAATTGAGCAAGATGCACTGAGTGGATCTGCTCTGCATGTGCACATGTGGTCGGCTTCCATCTTAAGTCCAAACATTTCAAAGATCTCCTGTGCAGAGCTGACAGGACTGGTGTGATAGACGTACAGTGTAACACCTGCTTCAAAAACACGTACTGTAGATGCCTTGTGTTCTCTCATGCTTGAGTGATAGTTTTGATACAGCATTACTGTGAGTTAAAACACTGCAGTGACTCTGAAAGCACCACATCTCTATTTACCACTGATGGAAACAGAGAAAGGCAACAAGTGAGACAAAATCAGGCAGAGATTAGACTAACAGTTAAAGAAACTGTTTTACTAAAGTACACTAAACAGAACTGTTTCAAGGACCAGAAATCAGCCTGTATTTATGTCTAACTGGCCTCTTACCTTTTACACATATGTGCCTATCTGTGCCACACTACTGCCCCTGGTGGTCAGGTGGATACATGCTTCAACTGGTCCAGTGACTCAGAACCTGACCACTGGTTGGTGGAGCCAGCAAACAGGAAAAGTTAAACCTGCCTAGGGGGTGCTAAAGCACTGATGTTCTACTGTGAGTGTGATTTGTTTTGTTTACAAGATCCAACTGTTGCAATAATATATTATTTTATTTTATTACATAAAAGGACTGCTGCTGACTGCTCCATTCTTTTTTGTTTTGCAGTTGTACAAACAGTTCAGTCATTCAGTGCCAGTGACAATTCATGCAAATTCTTTGCACATGCTTAGGTCATGGCTGGCTGCTAAAGCACTGATGTTCTACTGTGAGTGTGATTTGTTTTGTTTACAAGATCCAACTGTTGCAATAATATATTATTTTATTTTATTACATAAAAGGACTGCTGCTGACTGCTCCATTCTTTTTTGTTTTGCAGTTGTACAAACAGTTCAGTCATTCAGTGCCAGTGACAATTCATGCAAATTCTTTGCACATGCTTAGGTCATGGCTGGCTATTTTTATTTTAATAAAGGAGGAAAGCAGGAGCAGTTCAAAGGAAAATCATACAAAAAATGCTGATTCATTATTTCATAAAAGGCATATATTCATCTTTTTTCTTCATTTTAAAAATATTATGACAAATATTACATTGTAGAATTTTTGTCATGGCAATATCATCCTGTGAGTTTTTGGTATCATTACATCACTAACAGTAATTATACAGCGCTGTCAGAAATAGTGACCTACAAGCTACACTGCCAAGAAGGTTCCGGGTTCGAGCCCCAGGCGACCTGGGGCCTTTCTGTGTGGAGTTTGCATGTTCTCCTGGTGCCTGTGTGGGTTTTCTCTGGGTACTCCGGCTTCTTCCCATGGTCCAATAACTAGGAAGTTACACTACCTAAAAAAAAAAGGCACTCTAATAAGAATGGATGGAAAAAGGCAATGGGGTAAAGTATCTACTGACAGCAGCACATGCAGTAGGCAATATAAAACTCAAATATTACTCTTGAATGAGACTTGACTGACCCACAAAGATACTTGCTGCAGGCTGCTCTAAACAGTGCTGCAATTTTGTTATGCTTATGTTGATGTCAAGAAGTTGTAATTGTTTATTTTTATCATATTAATTCTTTGCAACAGAATAAGGAAAAATAGAGTGTGTAGTAATTAAGAAGGGCTTTTTGCGAGTGTAAACTGAGTAATGTAGAGAAATACTGTTCATTCTGCAGTAACGAAGGGTTTAAAGGTCACTACACACCAACACAGAAAAAGTTGAAGTAATGTCTTAAAGTGATGTGTACAGCTTGTATTTCCAATATTTGCCATGGCACGTGAATGCATCATCACTATCATGAAGACAGGTTGACCGGTCAACTCCTTGGCTCTGTAATTGTCAAAAAGATTTGACACGACTTAGCACTGAACTCTTTTTTTCTCTCTCCTTCAGGACCATATTATCATGGCAACCAAGGTGTTGCCTCCACAATAACTCCATTCTGGGTCGTACCACCCCCTGAGGTGAAGAGGCAGACATAACAGACAGAAATTAAACTACTCATCCTATTTCAGCATTGTTTCCTGGTTTAGGTTTCTCTGATGTTGACATTTGTGCCCATGTCTCTGCTAAACTCAACTAAACATAATCTCCTTTCCTGCAGCAAAGGCCTAATGACTACGGTATCCCAGTGGCTGTGGAAGTCACCTATGTACAAGACAACTTTCTCACCAGTGATGTTCTTAATGAGATGGTACTGATACTACAGTCCTGTAAAAATGCTGTGGAGAAATCAGAATTTGTGCAATTGGTTTTTATTACTGGTGTAAATCAGTATAAAAGTCTTATTTCCTCCACAGATGCTCCTGGTTGACTACTACAGGGCAGCTCCTGACCTTGTCCAGTTCAATCAGTATTGGTGTCCCGATATGACCATGATGGACAAAATTAAGGTAAGGGGGTGGCAGGACGTCGTACAGCCTCCAGCAGGTGACACAGATCTAATGTGTTCTTCATCTTCCTCAGGGTTCTCTGAGCTGCCATGCTCCCAAAGACCAGGCCTACTCTCAAATCTTAGAGCACGTCTACAGTCAATTGAGCAAGATGCACTGAGTGGATCTGCTCTGCATGTGCACATGTGGTCGGCTTCCATCTTAAGTCCAAACATTTCAAAGATCTCCTGTGCAGAGCTGACAGGACTGGTGTGATAGACGTACAGTGTAACACCTGCTTCAAAAACACGTACTGTAGATGCCTTGTGTTCTCTCATGCTTGAGTGATAGTTTTGATACAGCATTACTGTGAGTTAAAACACTGCAGTGACTCTGAAAGCACCACATCTCTATTTACCACTGATGGAAACAGAGAAAGGCAACAAGTGAGACAAAATCAGGCAGAGATTAGACTAACAGTTAAAGAAACTGTTTTACTAAAGTACACTAAACAGAACTGTTTCAAGGACCAGAAATCAGCCTGTATTTATGTCTAACTGGCCTCTTACCTTTTACACATATGTGCCTATCTGTGCCAGTATCCTGTGGTGTGAGCCAGATATAATGGAAAGATACAATGTAAATGTCTGTGTTGTAACTGCCCTTGAAAACTAAAGGAATGCAGGAAACTGAAAACAAGTAGTGCAAATTATACTACAGTACATTAGCAATGTATGCAAATGTGTCTTGGTTTGACCTAAACTACTCTGCGGTAGGTCTTGTGGAAGTTTATGTTCCTTAAATCAAATTAGAAGGTTGCAAGTAAATCCATTGTGCCAAGCATGTTTAATAACTGTGTGTGGGTGGGTGAATGCACGTGTACTGTGTTGTGAATGTGCCCCTCTACTGTCTCCCTGTCAGGTTACATGAGACAAGAGTCCTGTTGACAGGTATCTGCTTCCTCTTTACCTGTACTGTATTTATTACAACCTGTGGATTGTGTGATGTACATGTATGAGGATTTATGCCTTAATCCTGCTGATTGATGATCCACAAAACATAAAAATATTCACACTGGAACAATTTAAACATGACTGTCAGTTATTTATCTTATTTTTTTTGTTTAGCCACTCCACTGAACTCAAATACGACAATAAAGCCACAGATTGATGCCATCAGGGTTGATCAAACACAACAATAACACATTTCCTTTTTGTTTATTGTAAGGGGGGGGGGCATACAAATACTTTGATGATAATAAAAGACAAAATATTGTGGTTAAACTCTATACTCATACCAAAAGTAAAAAGGCAACATAAATCTAAGACATACAATATAGGACTACATGCAAAGATTAAAGTGTTTTAAGGTCTTGTATATAAAAATAATACTACTGAGGATGGTTTAATTCTGTTCAAAAGAGTATTTAAGACTGATTACACAAATACAGAGACCTAAAAAATATATAGGACATTTTTTCAAGTGTATTAAAATGCAGATAAAAAAAAAAAAAAACAACAGCTGCAGGTGGTCTGCTGATAAACCTCACATGGTCTAAACACAGCATGTTCAGGAAACTGCCTGTAGTGTTATAAATGTGCAGAAGCATGCACACATGCATTTCTATCTTTACACAGGAAAAGTGACAATGGCTCAAAATTAAACCAAAAGTTCAAAAAAAAAAAAAAAAAAACCTTCAATAACTAAGTAGCTAGGTTAGGTTTTGGTAGTTGCGGCAGGTTCCCTCCTTTCATTTACAAGGCACTAAAACAAAGCTCAGCAAGGACTTGTACTGAGAACAGTGTGATCCAGACAGTTCCTTCTACAGTCCTTTAACTTTGCCCTGAACTTGATACAAGCATTGAAATGTAATAAAATCTGAGATGTAAACATATTAATCATGGACCAAACTCCCGACTGGGGGAAGTGTTTGGCAGCAGATTACATAGGGCAAATGTAGAAAAGGAGCACACATTTGTCATTATCGTTTTTTCCCTGGACAATCCAAAATTAGCTGAACTGATAGTAAATACTTAGTAAAGACTAATATTAGTAAAAATGGCCAACAGCTTCTTTCACTCCAGGTCTTGCCCTCACACTGTGTTTGATCTGCAGGTGTGGATTGGGACTGAATATCATAACAAGAAACCAGCCTCGTCTAAATAGATTAGATGACGCGTCTACAGATCATTATACTAAGAAATAAACTAAATCAGAACCATTGGGAGTGATCAGAATCACAGGGTCAGATTAAACTTCAAAGCACACATGAGTTTCACATTCTCAGAGACATGGGCAGGTAGAAAGTGGGACAGGTTGTGATGGATATGAAAGACTTTGTCGCTGCCAGCAGCGTTGTCTAGTCAAGCACTGCATGGGGTTAAAAGTTGCCTAAAACTGGGGTAAAAGGACTGGACAGAGTAAAAGGATTTACACGCAAAGCCAAACAGGCCCAAAACTACATGAATATATGGTTACGTTACAGAATAGTTAGCAGTTTACCAAATATGCGCACTGAGTAATATATTGCTATTGTGTTTTCAAAAGGCATTTTGGCTCTGTCTCCTCTACTGAACAGACTAGCAGACAATCACTAAATAACTAATCATTCTGCATTTCAATAGAACAAACCTGTGCCCACCTTAAATTACAAAAGGTGCAATGTCTGCATTTAACTTTGGGTCTGTGTGTAATGGCTGAGCCATGTGTGTGTCACGCACATCAATCTCATTCAAGG